TGAGTGCGGCCTGGTTGTGTCCTTGAGGCGTCTGCCCCTCGACGGGGCAAGCGCTCGGAATCATCGAACGCTCGCAAGCTGGCACTGCCGCCAGGCTTCGTCCAAGAGGAGACGGCCCGTGAGAACCAGGGGGACGCGAGAGAGTGCAGGACCGTTGGCCCTGCCGCTGGGCTGTGTCCTTGAGGCAACTGCCTCGCGACGGGAGCAGGCGTGCTGAAGCGTGGATGCACGAAAGTTGGTACTGCCGCCGGGTAACAAGTAGAGGCGGGCCGTGAGATCCAGGAAGACGTGAGGGCGTGCAGGACTGCCGGCCTTGCCGCCGGACTCTGCCCTTGAAGCAACAGCCTCGCGACTGGGCTAGGGCGCATAAATCTGCGGACGCGCACTGGCTGGCACTGCCGCCAGCCAGCGCCCAAAAGGGGAAGAACCTTGGCAGCGATTCGACGTGAAAGCATGCAGGACCGCTGGTCTTGCTGCCAGGCTGTGCCCTTGAGGCAACTGCCTCGCCACGGGGGCAAGCGTGCATTACTTGTGGATGCACGAAAGCTGGCTTTGCCGCCGGCCAGAATCCAACAAGGAGACAAACTTTAGTGATCAGTTCGACGTGAGAATGTGCAGGATCGGCGACTTTGCCGCCAGATTGCGTCCTTGAGGCAAAAGCCTCGCGATGGGGGGCAGGCGTGCAGAATCTGCCCGAGCGCCTGGCGGCGTGCGCGTCTTCGGCGCGAAGCCGACCCTTCGGCCGCACGGTGCGTCCCTAGGTTTCCTCATCTTCGTGCTCTTCTTCATCGTCCCTCGGACTCATTGGGGGAAGAAATATCCTTCAAACCTGAGCTGTCTAGTTCCATGAAGAAACGTACTGGGAGGCTCCACATCATCGTTATTTAATCGCTTCGTTCATTCCGCCGGCCCTGGAGCTCTCTTTAGGGCCTCTTGGGGGCCTCTTGGGGACCTCTTGGGAGTCTCTTGGGGCTCCTTGGCGGCGTCTTGGGGGCCCCCAGGGCCTCTTGGGGGGCTCTTGGGGGCCTCTTGGGGCGGGATGGGGCGTAGTCGATTGCGGCTCCCCCCTCGGAGGCCACGATCCTCTTGAGGGGTGTCGAAAAATTGCCCGGTCCGGCATCTCTGACACGCACTTGCCAGGACCTTGCCAGGGTATTTTTCGCCCAGAGACCCCCAGGGGCCGCCCCGCGCGCGCGAACTAGAATATCGTTAACCAGTTACCGGAGATCTTAGCACGCTTCTGGCCCGTTGGGCCGGCGAATTCTTGTCTACATCACCACCACCATCATGATCGTCCTTTCCTCGTCCTACTTTTTCTCCAGCCCCACTGGCCGAGGACGCAGCAGAGCCCGTGGCAATGGTGCTGGCAAGAATACTGGTACGCAGTCTCTTCCCGTGAGCCCACATGTAAGCAGCCTCCCAAGCACTGTTTTCCAGCAATCAACTTCCCTAAACGACGCCACTCCGTGTGTGTATGGTGTATAAGGTGTGTGTCGTGTGTGTGTGTGTGTGTGTGGTGTGTGTGGTGTGTGGGTGTGCGTGTGTGCGCACGTGTGCGCACGTGTGTGCAAACGTGCGTGCGGGGGTGCGTGCGTGTGTGTGTGTGTGTTGTGTATGTGTGTGTGAGTGCGTGTATGTGCGCGTGCGTGCGCGTGTGTGTGTGTGTGTGCGCGTGCGTGCGTGTGTGTGTGTATGTGTGAGTGCGAGTGTGAGTGTGAGCGCGTGTGTGCGTGTTCGCGAGTGTGTGTGTGTGTGGGGGGCGGTGGGGGGCTGGCTCTGTAGGTGTGCGGGAGGGTGCGTGCGTGCGTGCGTGTGTGCGTTCGTGCGTGCGTGCATGCTTGCGTGTTTGCGTGCGCGCGTGCGTGCGTACGTTTGCGTGGGTGTGTGTGTGTGTGTGTGTGTGCGTGTGTGCGTGTGTGCGTGTGTGCATGTGCGCGTGTGTGCGTGTGTGTGTGTGTGACTGTGTGTGTGCGCGTGTGTGTGTTGTGTGTGTGTGTGTGTTGTGTGTTGTGTGTGTGTGTGCGTGCATCTGTGTGTGCGTGTGTGTGCGTGTGTGTGTGTGCGTGGGTGCGCGTGTGTGTGCGTGTGTGTGTGTGCGTGTGTGTGTGTGCGCGTGTGTGTGTTGTGCGTTGTGTGTGCGTGTGCGTGTGTGTGCGAGTGTGTGTGTGTGCGTGTGTGCGTATGTGTGTGTGTTTGCGCCTGTGTGTGTGCGTGTGCGTGTTCGTGTGTGCATGTGTGTGTTTGCGTGTGCGTGTGTGTGTGTGTGTGCGTGCATGTGCGTTTGTGTGTGCGTGTGTGCGTGTGCGCGAGAGTGTGTGTGTGTTTGTGTGTGCGTGTGTGCAGGTGTGCGCGTGTGCGCGGTGTGTGCTTGTGTGTGCGTGTGCGCTTGTGTGTGTGTGCGTGTGTGCATGTGTGCGCGTGTGTGTGTGCGTGTGTGTGTGTGCGTGTGTGCGTGCGTGTGTGCGAGCGTGTGTACATGTGTGCGTGTGTGTGTGTGTTCGCGAGTGTGAGTGTGAGTGCGTGTGTGTGTGCGCGTGTTTGCGTGTGTGCGTGGGTGCGTGCGTGCGTTTGTGCGTCTGTGCGCCTGTGTTGTGTGTGCTGTGTGTGTGCGTGTGTGCGTGTGTGCGTGTGTGCATGTATGTGTGTCTCGATGTGTCAGTTTGTGTGTGTGTCTGTGTGTGTGGATGTGTTTGTGCGTGTGCGCGTGCGTGCCTGTGCCTGTGCTTGTGCGCGTGCGTAAGTGTCTGTGTGGGTGTGCGTGTGGGTGTGCGTGTGTGAGTGTGTGCGTGTGCGTGTGCGTGTGCGTTTGCCTGTGCGTGTGCGTGTGCGTGTGCGTGTGTTGTGTGTGTTTGTGCGTGCGTGCGTGCGTGCGTGTGCGTGCGTGCGTGCGTGTCTGTGTTTGCGTGTGTTATGTGTTATTTGTTATGTGTTGTGTGTTGTGTGTTGTGCGTTGTGTGTTGTGTGTTGTGTGTTGTGTGTTGTGTGGTGTATGGTGTGTGATGCGTGGTGTGTGTTGTCTGTTGTGCGTTGTGTGTTTGCGTGTGTGAGTGAGTGTGTGTGTGGGTGTCTGTGTGTGACTGTGTGTGTGTCTCTGTGTGTGTCCCGGTGTGTGTGTGTGTGCGTGGGTGTGTGTGTGTTTGTGTGCGTGTGTGTGTGTGCGTGTGTGTGTGTGCTGTGTGTGCGTGTGTGTGCGTGTGTGCGTGTGCGCATGTGCGTGTTTCAGTGTGTCGTGTGTGTGTGTCTGTGTGTGGGTGTTGGCACCTCCACCTGTCGACCGCGCCTGGCGTCCGACTGCGCCGCCGAGTTAAAACTGTGTGTGTGCGTGTGTGTGTGTGTGCTTGTGTCTGTGTCGTGCATACAGCGTGTCCCCTGTTGTCATTCCGCCGGAGCAGTCGCCCTCTGCCCAGCCGCCGACGCAAAAAGTCTGTGCCTGTGCCTGTGCCTGTGTCTGTGTTTGTGTGCGTGTGCGTGTGCGTGCGTGTGCGTGTGCGTGCGTGCGTGCGTGGCCTGGCTGGCCTGATCCCCCCCCCTTTTCTCTTCTGCCGCCGCCGCCCCTGGCTCCCGCTGTGTCCTTCTTTCTTGTCCGTTGCTCCCTCGGCGAATCCGACGGGGTATTTAGTTTCATTGAGTTTCGCAAGTCCAGGCCTCTCAACCCTGCGTTGCAATCAGGGAAGCCCCATGCTGACTGCTGGGGTTGGGTCCCCCAGACTTTTGACGACGGCAGGAGCAGAACGCCCCCTGAACTCCCTGCGGCCACCGCCATTTCGAGTGATTCGAGACCTGGCCATGCGCAGATAGCGCCCGAGCGAGCCTCCTCCTCCTCCTCCTCCTCCTCCTCCTCCTCCTCCTCCTCCTCCTCCTCCTCCTCCTCCTCCTCCTCCTCAACCTCCTCCTCAACCTCCTCCTCTTCCTCTTCTCCCTCCTCCTCCTCATCATCATCCTCCTCTCCCTGCCCCCCCTCCGATTCATCCAAGGAGAAAAAACTCCATACATACAACTTTCATAGGTCCAAACCGACCAAGGAAACCCGCGAAACCCTCCAAAAGGTTGACCCCGCTATTCCCTAAACAGTGCTTGCACTTAGGGGTTGTTGTTTCCCTTCTGAGAAAATGGGCTTGGCTGGCGGTCTGGCGGCTCCGTGCCCACCGTCGACAACCCGTGGCCGTCTCGTCGCCGCACGTCGCCTGGGCCTGGCTAGCGGTCTGGCGATTCCGCGTTCGCCGTCGCCGCCCCGTCGTCGCCGTCGCGTTGCTTCGTCGCCGCCTCGCAAAGATCCTCCGTTCGGAAAGAGCATTACGATATACCCCGCGGGGTTAACGGCACACCCTTTTCGCATCGCAATTTACATGTGATTCTGCCCGACCGTCCATCCGAAACGTAAACTCATACCATTTCAGCCAGGTGGGAGTTCGCCCCCCTTAATATGTCTGAAAAAATGGTGTGCGCGCGCCTTCGCGTATCAAAAACCATCCGTTTTCAAAAACCCGTCGCGAGAAAAAAAACTGGACGAAGTGCACTCGCGCGCGTCGTCGGGCGCGCATGCCGAAATCCACCCCGAAAATATCACATTAAAAGTATTGTCGCAACAAGCGTTTTCAAAAAAAAAAAACTGCGCACGCCCCCTTGCGAATTCCTACGAAAACCATCGGTGTTCAACATGTTCATAAAATGCTATCAAACGGACCTCTCGAGGGCGCATGCCGAAATCGCTCGAACGCCTTTGCGCGCGTGCTGTCGCAAGAATCCCTTGCGGAAAAGACGAAGTGCACGCGCGCGCGTCGTCGCGCGCGCATGCCGAAATCGTTCGGAAACCGTTTGGTGTCGTAGGGAATTCAGAACAACGAATGCTCCGAAAACATGATTGTGCAGCAGCAGTTTTGAAAAAAATGCCTGCGCGCGCGCCCTGGCGAACCCTTTGAAAAAAAAAACATCGGCTTTTCAGCGTTGCCATCACATTCTGCCAAACGGACTTCTCGCGCCGCACGACGAACTCATCCGAACGCCCTCGCGCGCGTGATGCGGGGCACGATCCGTGTCAAATAACTCCACGCGGGCAACTCGCGCGCGTCGGCCGCGCGCGCTTGTCGAACTCCTTCCAAAACCTTCATCACCGACGCGAGGACGTCGTCATTGTTATCGGCGGGCGTGATCAGCATCGGCGCAGTCGTTGGCCTTGCCGTCGTCATTGCCACCATCGTCGCCATCATCACAACTCCCATCATCGTGTGTACCTTGATCGGCGTCGCCATAATAACGCGCCCGCCCACGTCACCGAGTCGCAGTGAAGTGCCCGCTGGGAAGTCCCCAGCGGTAGTCCCCAGCGGTCAGCGCCACCGCAGCCGCGTCGGTCGCGACAAACTAGCTGGCCGCTATGCGCGCGAGCATGCGCGGGCGAGCGCGACCGCAGAGATGCACCAGCCAACGCCAAGCACTCATCGCAATCGCCGCCGCACGGGTTTTGCAAGCCAAGTTGCGGGTGGGTGGGTGGGATGTTTGCAAGAGCATGTTTTGTCAACCCGTTTGTAAAAACAATTGCACCACATAGGTTGCACCGCAAAAGTTTTGTCACATCGATTGTACCATATATATATATATTGGTAGAAACAAACCGAATGGGTTCCACGCTAGCCAACATTTCTTCTAATTCATCCTCCTGATGCGCTTGCGTACCCTCATCCCTCTCCCCGCCCTCTTCCTCGCCCCCTCCGTCCTCTTCTCGCCGTTCCGAGACGCCGCGGTATTCCCCGCCGTGTTCCGCGGGGTGGCTTGCCGGCGCCGGGGGGGCCTGCGAGGTTGGCATGCAACTACAGCGATTCGCCAGGTCGGACGACGGACTCGAGTTCTCAGCGGGTCTGTCCGACATTCCAACGGATCTGCTCGGGTATCGAGTCTGGCGGGCTGCTGTGGGGGGCCACAAGAGCAAGCAACGGCGTGAACGTGAGCCGTCGGAGGTCCACGCGGACTTCTTGTGTCCGCGTTGGACACCCCTCTCCTGTCCTGCTGCCAGTTTCGCGTGCGAGCCCCGATCCTGGGCCCAGGACGGGCCCGACCAGGATCGGTGCAGGTGCACCCTCCTCCCTCCTCCCTCCTCCCTCCTCCTCCTCCCTCCTCCTCCTCCTCCTCCTCCTCCTCCTCCTCCTCCTCCTCCTCCTCCTCCTCCTCCTCCAGCGCCCTCCCATTGGCTCCCCCCCCCGGCAGACGGGCAGCTCCCCCGCCGGAGGGCCCCCCCCCCGCCCCTGGCACGCAGAGGAGATGGAGGCGCTGACCGCCACCCCCGTGCTGCTCGCCGCGATCGCGCTCCTCGCGGGCGTCCTCACGGACCTCTCGACGGCGACGGGCTGGCCTCGCCGCGGGGCCCGTCCAGGGTGGTCGAGATGCGCACTCTTGGATCTGCGACGATGGGAGTAGTTTGAGTCTTGGCGTTTCTGTTTCGATTCTGGCCTCCAGGGCACGTTAGCGGGCCCCGGGGGATTTCAAGAACGGACCTGAAGCGAGAAGTTGGCCCCGAGGAAAGGGTCGGGACCTCTGGGGCCGCGCATTGAGTTGAAAATGAGATCGGCGGATGTCAGGGTTGGCCACCTCCACGCTGGCACCGCTACCGAGCGGATTACACGCCTGCGTCGTTGCATCGTCACGGCTGCGCCGCTGTACCCGCGCGCCTGAGTCTGCGTACGGTAGGTTCGTGTCGTGTCGACTGGCGGCGACCCCGCCAGCGGCGTTCAACTTTGAACGCCGCGGGCGACCCAGAATCGTTCGATGTGGAACGATTTGGACGTTTCGAAAACGGCCGATCGTTCAAGGTTGAACGATCCCCGCGGTGTCAAAAACCATCGCCTGGGTCGGCACGACGCAAACCTGCGGTAGCAGCTGTCGCTTGCGCCACTGCACCGTCAAGCCTGGGGCCTCTCGAGTAACACCGACGCTGTCCCGAGCGGAGGCCACAACGGATACTCCCTCGCCCTGTCGTTCGTGGCGCCTCGAAAGGGCGGGCCCGCCGAGAGTCTCCCCTCCTCCTCCTCCTCCTCCTCATCCTCCTCCTCCTCCTCCTCGATCTCCTCCTCGTTCTCCTCCTCCTCCTCCTCCTCCTCCTCCTCCTCCTCCTCCTCCTCCTCCTCCTCCTCCTCTTCCTCCTGGTCGTGTTGGGGCGAAGTCTGCTTCTTCCCAAAGGGGCTACCCCTTCCTATCGATCGCAGGACGCCTCGGAAGGGGTAGGGACCTGCCCCAGCAGCCAGATATCGACGGGGCCCGAGTGGTTTGTCGCGCAGTGAAGCGAACGACATGGGCGTCCAGGAGCGATAACCCTGGGTAGGCCTGCGATGGCGCCAGCGATGAGAGCGATATGCTCGAGGGCCCCTTCAGTGGGAAAGGGCCGCTGCATGTCCGACGGCGCGGCCCCAGGTGATAGCTGTCCAGGGGGCTGTGCTGGGCGCGCTCCTCGTCTTCGTGCTGCCCGGCATGATGATGGCCGCGCGGAAGGGCAGCGCGCCAGGCAGCGCGCCGGAGCTCGGCAGTGCCTTCTCTCTCTCTCTCTCGATCGATCGATCGATCGCCGCCGCGTGGTGGTCACAGGGCTTTTGTGCTCCGGGCGGCTCCTGCGGTGTCGGGCTGGGGCTCGCCTCCCCGAGAGCATCTCCAGAGCTGGCGGGGGCCACGTGCGGGCGATCCAGACGGGGGTGGGGGGGGGTCAGGGGCAACGTCAGGAGGGGGCGGAAAAGAGGGGGGTGATGACTAGGGGGGGTGGATATCATGGCGGGGGCCACGATATTTCCCCAGATTTCATGGCGCCTCTTCTTATTTCCCAGCCCTCCTTGGTTGGGTATTCGTTTTGAATAGAGCAGTGTGGTCTCCACTCCCTCCTTCCTTCCTTCCCGCCTCCCTCTTGCCTCCTCCTGTCTTGCCTGCGGGGGGCTGCGATCTGTGAAACTGTCGCCACTTTCGAGGCCTGCTGGGGGGCCCAGCACAGTGACGCCACACGCAGATTCAAATTAGACCTCGCCATCCCTGGGGGGCTGCGATCTGTGAAACTGTCGCCACTTTCGAGGCCTGCTGGGGGGCCCAGCACAGTGACGCCACGGGCGGATTCAAATTAGACCTCGCCATCCCTGGGGGGCTGCGATCTGTGAAACTGTCGCCACTTTCGAGGCCTGCTGGGGGGCCCAGCACAGTGACGCCACGGCGGATTCAAATTAGACCTCGCCATCCCTGGGGGGCTGCGATCTGTGAAACTGTCGCCACTTTCGAGGCCTGCTGGGGGGCCCAGCACAGTGACGCCACACGCAGATTCAAATTAGACCTCGCCATCCCTGGGGGGCTGCGATCTGTGAAACTGTCGCCACTTTCGAGGCCTGCTGGGGGGCCCAGCACAGTGACGCCACGGGCGGATTCAAATTAGACCTCGCCATCCCTGGGGGGCTGCGATCTGTGAAACTGTCGCCACTTTCGAGGCCTGCTGGGGGGCCCAGCACAGTGACGCCACACGCAGATTCAAATTAGACCTCGCCATCCCTGGGGGGCTGCGATCTGTGAAACTGTCGCCACTTTCGAGGCCTGCTGGGGGGCCCAGCACAGTGACGCCACACGCAGATTCAAATTAGACCTCGCCATCCCTGGGGGGCTGCGATCTGTGAAACTGTCGCCACTTTCGAGGCCTGCTGGGGGGCCCAGCACAGTGACGCCACGGGCGGACAATTAGACCTCGCCATCCCTGGGGGGCTGCGATCTGTGAAACTGTCGCCACTTTCGAGGCCTGCTGGGGGGCCCAGCACAGTGACGCCACGGCAGATTCAAATTAGACCTCGCCATCCCTGGGGGGCTGCGATCTGTGAAACTGTCGCCACTTTCGAGGCCTGCTGGGGGGCCCAGCACAGTGACGCCACGGGCGGACCCAAATTAGACCTCGCCATCCCTGGGGGGCTGCGATCTGTGAAACTGTCGCCACTTTCGAGGCCTGCTGGGGGGCCCAGCACAGTGACGCCACGCGCGGATTCAAATTAGACCTCGCCATCCCTGGGGGGGCTGCGATCTGTGAAACTGTCGCCACTTTCGAGGCCTGCTGGGGGGCCCAGCACAGTGACGCCACACGCAGATTCAAATTAGACCTCGCCATCCCTGGGGGGCTGCGATCTGTGAAACTGTCGCGAGGCCTGCTGGGGGGCCCAGCACAGTGATTCAAAAGACCTCGCCATCCCTGGGGGGCTGCGACTTGTCGAGGCCTGCTGGGGGGCCCAGCACAGTGACGCCACGCGCAGATTCAAATTAGACCTCGCCATCCCTGGGGGGCTGCGATCTGTGAAATTGTCGCCACTTTCGGGGCCTGCTGGGGAGCCCAGCACAGTGACGCCACACGCAGATTCAAATCAGACCTCGCCATCCCTGGGGGGCTGCGATCTGTGAAACTGTCGCCACTTTCGAGGCCTGCTGGGGGGCCCAGCACAGTGACGCCACGGCGGACCCAAATTAGACCTCGCCATCCCTGGGGGGCTGCGATCTGTGAAACTGTCGCCACTTTCGAGGCCTGCTGGGGGGCCCAGCACAGAGACGCCACGCGCGGACCCAAATTAGACCTCGCCATCCCTGGGGGGCTGCGATCTGCGAAACTGTCGCCACTTTCGAGGGCTGCTGGTGGGTCCGGCGGGGTGAGGCACCGCGCGGACCTGAGCGGGACCTCGCCGTCCCTGGGGGGCTGCGATCTGCGAAATTGTCGCCACTTTCGAGGACTGCTGGTGGGTCCTGCGGGGTGAGGCACCGCGCGGACCTGAGCAGGACCTCGCCGTCCCTATGGGGCTGCGATCTGCGAAACTGTCGCCACTTTCGAGGGCTGCTGGCGGATCCTGCGGAGTGAGGCACCGCGCGGACCTGAGCGGGACCTCGCAGTCCCTGGGGGGCTGCGATCTGCGTAACCGTCGCCATTTTCGAAGGGCTGCTGGTGGGTTCTGCGGGGTGAGGTACCGCGCGGACCTGAGCGGGACCTCGCCGTCCCTGGGGGCTGCGATCTGGGAAATGTCGCCACTTTCGAGGGCTGCTGGTGGGTCCTGCGGAGTGAGGCACCGCGCGGACCTGAGCGGGACCTCGCCATCCCTGGGGGGCTGCGATATGCGAAATGTCGCCACTTTCGAGGGTTGCTGGTGGGTCTTGCAGAGTAAGGCACCGCGCAAATCTGAGCGGGACCTCGCCGTCCCTGGGGGGCTGCGATCTGCGAAATTGTCGCCACTTTCGAGGGCTGCTGGTGGGTCCTGCGGAGCAAGGCACCGCGCGGACCTGAGCGGGACCTCGCCGTCCTTGGGGGGCTGCGATCTGCGAAATGTCGCCACTTCCGAGGGCTGCTGGTGGTTCCTGCGGAATGAGGCACCGCGCGGGCCTGAGCGGGACCTCGCCGTCCTTGGGGGGGGCTGCGATCTGTGAAATTGTCGCCATTTTCGAGGGCTTCTGGTGGTTCCTGCGGAATGAGGCACCGCGCGGGCCTGAACGGGACCTCGCCGTCCCTGGGGGGCTGCGATCTGCGAAATTGTCGCCACTTTCGAGGGCTGCTTGTGGGTCCTGCGGAGTGAGGCACCGCGCGGATCTGAGCGGGACCTCGCCGTCCCTGGGGGGCTGCGATCTGCGAAATTGTCGCCACTTTCGAGGGCTGCTGGTGGGTCCAGCGGAGCGAGGCACCAGGCAGATCTGAGCGGGACATCGCAATCCTTGGGGGGCTGCGAGCCTCACGAATGCCTTTGGCAGAAGTATGTGCGCCCATGTCACGTCTTCACCTCCGTATAACGTCTCCCAACCTACTCATGCCCCGCATTGCGCAGGGGTTGGGTACGTCGCCAGGGTAATTCATTCCCTCCTGGCCCCCCCGCTGGGCCGCGCACATGCCGGCGGTCATGATTTGCACCCCCCCCTCTTGGACACCCCCCTCTTGGCCGCTCCCGACGTCAGGAGGGCGGGGATAACCCCAGGAAGCATTCAAGCACCCCAGGAAGCACCCCAGGCGGACACGATGATGATGATGATGATGATGATAATGATGATGATGATGATGATGATGATGATGATGATGATGATGATGATGATGATGATGATGATGATGATGATGCTGATGCTGATGATGATGATGATGATGATGATGATGATGATGATGATGATGATGATGATGATGATGATGATGATGATGATGGGTGTTCTTGAACTTTAATCCTGGAGCAGAATGAGTGCCGCTGGACATCAATGTCCATCCTCGGAGCCGCTTGATAAGTTTACTTTATCTGCCTCCGCAGCCTTTTCTCTCGAGATGCGGCCAGAGGAGGCCTGGATTTCATCGATCGCCCTCCTTTTGGCCGGGTTCGCCCTCGGTCCAGCCTCGCGCGGGCTCGCGCCCTCTGGTGGCGGGCAGCCACCACCCGATCCTCCGCCGGCCGCGGAGGCGCCATTGGAGCCAGAGGCGCCCTCAGCCGAGGCCTGCGCCGCCTGGGTCCAGCCCGCTCCGCCGTGCGTGGAGCCGACCGTGGAGCTGCGGCCGCCCTCCATCGAGGAGTGCGTCGCCCTGCTCCAGGAGTGCGCGGCGGGCGCCGGGCAGGAGCCGGGGCAGCAGCTTGCGTATCACTCGCGGGCCCGCTGTTCGTGGAGGCGTTTCGCGGGCTGCTTGCCGGGCCTGGGTGCTGCCGACGCGCCCTGGTGGAGCAGCCTCCGCCGGGGCACGGCCAGCGCCTTCTGCGCTGCCTGCTGGCAGCCGTGCGCACCAGGAGCTGCGGGGTTCGGGCGTCATCAAATGAATGAGGGTGATGAGCTTGTCATCGAGTATGCGGTCCACCCTCCGTTGCTGCTCGGCCGCACTGTGGTGGGTGTGTCTCAGATACAGCTTTTCAACGCAGTGGTGGCTACTCCCGACAACGGCCTGTACGTGGGGGAGCTGGAGCCCGCCAACACGGACATCCGCGCCTGGTATCGCAGGACTCCAGGCGGGGGGCCCCCGCCGGCCGCGGCAGCCGGGATCCTCGTGTACGACTTCGCGCAGCCTCTCATGCTCGCCGACTTCCACGCGCTGTGCCCTGCAGCCCTCAGACTCGTCGCCGAGCACGACGCCGCCCTGGCAGCCGCCGGGGCCGGGGACGCTGTCGTGCCCGCCGGGTTGGGCCCCGCCGTGGCCGCTGCAGCAGCTGCGCCCATTGCACCTGCCGCGGCAGCAGGGCCTGCATGCCTCACCGGCGCTCTGGCGCCTCCGCCCGTCCCCGGGGCTGCCGCTCCAGCATACATCGCAGCGGCCGCCGGAGCAGCTGGCGCCGCGGCCGCCTTTGGCCCAGCAGCACTCGCTGGAGGCGCCGGGCTTCCACCAGCCGCAGCAGGAGACGACTTCTGCACGCTGGCCGTCACCTACGATCAGGAGGGCCGATGCCACAAACAGTTCGGCGAGGGGGTCAGAGCCATGCGCCAGCAGACCTGGCCGGACTGGTGTGTGCTGGGCCCGTGTACGGTCTTGTGGTGCGCCAACTACATGCTGGAGGACGGCGGGTCGGCGGTGG